CTCCATCAATTTTATTTTATATTGCTAACAATCGTACCAGTATAATTTAATTTTGTTTGTCCATGTTTTATTTCTTTTTTATTTTACCGCGTAACTGTGCATTAAATTTTACAAGATCAGCAACTGTGAAGCGCCTCTCTCTTTCCATGACTTTAGCAACTCAAAGTTTCTGTTCAGATTTTTACAGATTATTCATTTTCTCACAGACCGCCCTTGTCTTATACAGAATTTTAATCATTCGAATACAGCCTCTATCATTTATACACATATGCACAAATCGCTTTTGACATTTGCTTCCTACAATATTTCAGAGTTTATTCTGAAGATTTCCAGAGTACAACACAAAATTTTGTTATATATACCTTTAAAAATTGGTTTCTATATAAATCTATACACATTCCTAATGTTGTACTGAGCGGTGTTTGGCCGCGGAGTAAGATATTTGACCTGTCGATGAGAAATTGGACCGCTTACGTTAAAATTGTGGGCGAGATCAGCTAAATTTCATTTGCAATCGTTGGTGTTCGACAGTGACGAAATTGACCAATTTTAACCGCAGTATTATTTTTAAAGTAAATCTACATCATGGAAGCCTGCACAAAATACAAAGGTATAACAAAACATTTATTGACTAGGTTCTCGGGCGAAATGCGTTTTGTTGACCCATCGAACGGTTAAATAACGGCCGCAGAGTGAGACAAACAGTCTGGTTTTTGGGTCCGACAATATACGTACAAATAAAAGATTAATTTATATGATTTTAAAACGAGAGAGGGAGAGGGGGTAGAGAGAGAGAGAAATGCGTAAAGGTATATTTGATAGTACGTTTATTATAAGTATCCGATTATTAATCGTATTCAAGCAAGAGTTTGATTTTTAAAAGCTAGACTAGCGAATTACTTGGTTTGTTTTTTAGATTGCATTAAAACTTTTTATATGTCAGATTCCCTATAAAAGTTTATGAAAAAGAATTACAGATATTTTCGAAAAGTATTTGCAATTTTAATTAATAGATAACATTGAAAGGGCAAATTCCCCAGCCCATTCTCGCGACGTCATTCACGATATTATCTAAACAAAGTGTGTTTAAAACGTTTCTGTCTTGTCATCTGAAAAAGTCTCAAAAAAAAATGAAAAAGTACTGTCATACGATTAATAATTTTATATGTCTCCAGATGGTTCTTCTCAAATGCACGAATCAAGTAAACCCCCCCCCCCCTAAACAAGCTGTAGCACTTCTCGTGGATAGTTGGCATGGGCAACCTTCTATCGAATTTTCTTTAGCAACTAATTGAGGCTTTTTTCACCAACTTAGTACAGCTTCTCAAATAGATAAATAAATAAAATAAAAATAAACATGTATAAACATTTACTTTTTTGAAGAACACTTTTACGATCTTTTTTTTTAAAACACGTAAATATAATTATAAATAACTACTGTTGCTTGAAGTTTCGACTTTGTTTGCTTGAAGTTTCGACTTTGTTGCTTTAAGTTTCGCTTGATATGAGAGCCTATCTTTAAGTAAGTATTGTGAGCCTTTGATACCAAACCTATGGAGAGAATGATTATAGGCACTTACGCCTGCTTTTCAATCCATTTCAGGCCCTGATCGGAAGGTCGTATGTTTAAATCACGGCTGCGACCGACCTAAGTCGATAAAAAAAAATAGGTAGCAATTGTTCCTCCGTCAAGCGCTCGGCACTTTGAAGTGAAAGTTGCGGGCCTAAAAACCGAGGCCCCGTGTCACGGTAGGTTCAAACTTTTTTTCTTTTTTTTCACAACCAATTTTCCCCCAATACACTAAATCCCTAGACTTTACCTATGCTACAGCAAATGGGGGGGGGGGGGGGGGTAGTCTTTCAATGAACATTTTCAAAGTTCGGAAAAAGTGGGAAGGGGCCCTGCGTCCGTGATTCTTCGTGCCTGATAAATAACTTGTTTTCAGACTTGTCCACACTGACAGATAATTTTGTTCCACAGTACTTATATTAAATTGTGTGATACACTTACACTGCCGTAATCGGCTGACACAAGAATTTAAAAGAAAATCACGTGATTCTATTTATAGATATACCTTTTCAATTCAAGATCAAACTATGTAATATGATTTGAGGACGAGTGTTATATTTTCGTAGTTGCAAGTATGACAAATGACAATCATTTAATTTGTTCAATATTCAAATTCTGAGACAAAAGATTTATAAAATCAATAAAAATAAAACAAGTAGCTATGAATTTGCAAACTTTAATAAAATAGTTTAGGACTGTTTTTTCCCGAGCTACTTTCAAAGTGTATTGTGTATATTCCCAGCAGGCACGCAACGTTGTTTCAACGATGAAAGTAGGTGGAATATAGGTTGCAACGTTGAGCAACTATAGTTCAACGTTGTTTCAACGTTGAGGTTTCAACGTTGAATCCTCAACCTTTTTACAACGTTGAAACAACGTTGAAGATGCAACATATTTTCAACGTTGAATATTCGTCGATATTTCAACGTTGAAACAACGTTGAAGATTCAACATATTTTCAACGTTGAATCCTTAACCTTTTTACAACGTTGAAACAACGTTGAAGCTGCAACATATTTTCAACGTTGAATGTTCGTCGATATTTCAACGTTGAAACAACGTTGAAGATTCAGCATATTTTCAACGTTGAATGTTTGTTGTTTCAATGTTGAAACAACGTTGAAGCTGCACCATATTTTTAACGTTGAATGTTCGTCGAAATTTCAACGTTGATACACATTGAAGATTCAACATAATATTTTCAACGTTAAATATTTCCTTTTATTTTAAGGTTGAAGCGATGTTAAAAATGCAGCATCTTTTCAACTTTGAATGTTCGTTTATATTTTTACGTTGAAACAACATCGAGGATGCAACATATTTTCAACGTTGAAAAAGTGAGGAAAATTTAATGTCGAAACAACGGGTAATGAGCGCCTTATTTTTCAAGGTCAAAATAGTAAGGGTTATTGAACGCTAAATCTGTGTAATTTTTTGCTATATATATATATATATATATATATATATATATATATATATATATATATATATATATATATATATATATATATATATATATGCATTGTTAGAAAATATCATGATTATTCACAATAAAATGTATTATGCATTAATTTATTTAAATTTCATTCAAAAGAATTGTGCTTACAGTACTGTAATAAAATGTTAAATATGAGTTAATATGAAGTCTGACATCTAAATTCAACTCTCCACTGTAATTACATGTTTCAAAAAAGTTAATTTGTAAATTAATTCTGAATGCAGTTTTTACATAAATGAAAAAGAAAAACTTTTTTGTCCTTAAGATAAGCTTAATGACATCTTTATCCAATACTTCACTGTTATTCCATGCTACTATAGAATTAATAAAAATAATAATTTATTCGAAATTAATGTAATCGAATTAAACTTCTTAGATCCGTGCCGACTCTGCGCAGAATGTATACAGAGCGGATCTAAGAAGTCTGATTTTACATTAGATTGTGCTTTTGTTGCATTTTTATGAAAGGGAAAAAAAGGAAACTGTATTAGATATATTACTGTAATCTTTCTTATCACAAAATAGAAAAACATTAAAATAAACACGTTACAAAAAGGTTTAACAGTATTCACACTAACAATTAACCCCGGTCAGTTTACATTACTTAGATCCACTCCCCAAATTTATCTTCAAGGCATCAGATAAGGAGTGGTTCTAGCTTAGCTGGTCAGTTTCAGTGTCATGATAACCTTGTTATGCAATTTTCTTGCTGGGCAGCGATACAGAGAAGTTGTCTGCAGCATTTCTAGGTCAAATTTTGAATTCAACTGATGGACAAGAAGTGCGCGTCTTCTTGCAGTTCACATATTATGTATTTTACACGCCATGCACAAGGATTAAGGCTAGATTATGAACTTCTGCTCAGTAAGTATAACTTCCTTTTCATGGATTTAGAAGAAATTTTAGATTTTCTAGTACCCATACATTATTTTATTCTTCTTTTGTAATAATATTTGTAATCTGCATGCAAAACTTTAATTACTTCGCAATAACCAATTCCTTTATCCTTACAACTTATTTTGAATGGAGACAATAACCTTACTTACAACCAAAATATTGCAGTAACATGTTCATGAATTTATTACAAAGAGATTTGCATGATATTGTTTCTCTTCTTTTTTTTTTAATTGTCAAACCATAGAACCAGCATCTATTTATGTGTTCTTATTAACTTTCACATTTAGGCCTCTATTATTTTTGTTAGTCATATACGTTAATTTGCAAACATATTGTATCATCAGCTCACTTATAATTAATTTTCTACCATTTATTTTGTCTTATTTTTATAAATTTCTTTTGAATATACACATGTATATATTTCTTTTTTCAATGATATGTAACTAATATTTACTTGTAAATGTATGACATTAACCTTGTATTATGGAGAGGACTTATATAGGCAGTGCCTGTTGTCCAACCTTATTATGATTATACATAATAAAATATTGTTTAAATTAATCTGCGTGAAATGCACATCCTTAGTTCGTGTATTTCAGTGCCTGGGAAGGACAAGTAACTGATGGGGCCAATGGCCCCCCTCTTCATAAAATGATGGGGCCATTTTGAAACTTATGGGGCCAAGAGAGAATACAATGGGGCCATTTTTAAAATTTTCGTAGTATGAACATATTCTGTTAATGCTATGATTATGCATGCACCTCAGACAATAAAATTAATGCAAATAAAACAAAAAAAATTTTTGGATTGCTTTATTGACATATCATAACATTATGATAAGCCTACATGCCTACTGATCAGAGATGATACGCTTTTTCAAAGAATTCCATTTTTTCAAAACATCATCATAATTGATAGTATCTTGTATGTTTAAGGTCAGACGACACGTTCCTCAAAAATATATAATTTTTCCCAAGAATTTGTCATTGAAGTATTGCTACTTAAACAAGTTTCCTCACCAAAAATTGAGGTACCTTACCAGGCATTTGGGCAAGGTACCAGAGGGTGATATTTCCTATATAATCCATATAGGTAATCTTTTGAATTGCCAATGTTACAATTTCTGGTGTACTTATTTTTTAAAACATATTGAAAACAATTAAGAAATCACAAGAGAATGACAATTATGAATAATTTTTGATATAATACCAAGGTATACAAAACATATAATTAAGTAACGTGTCGTCTGACCTTAATCGAACTCTCAGCAGTCGGTCGGAAATTTTGGGTGCCAAGGAGTTTCTCTGCTTGGTTAGAATAATGTTTTGTTGGGAAAACACACGTTCACAACTTGCAGTGTGAAGGGGCAAAGTGAGTGCAATCTGTGCAAGCTTGATCAGTTCATCCAAGTCTTCTTTATGGTGTTTTGTGAGTAGTTCCCACAAGTCTTGCATCCGGTCAGTTGGGTATCTGGCAGACTTAACAATCTGCTTGGCCAACATCCACTGATTTCTAACTTTCTCTGCACATAATACCGGCTGTGATATGGCAGATTTGTGAGACTGCAATTTGAATAGAAGTAAGTAGATTAATATTTATAATATAAACATTGTCATTTTTTCATTGATTTGAAATAATCTTTAATCTTCAAATAAAATTATTTTGAAGAATGAAATAGTTACTTTTGAAGTTCCATAGTAGTCAAGAAGTTCATTTACTTCTTCAACACCATATGTCTCTGTATCACTGAAATTTATGGTTCGCATGGACAGGACATAGAAGGCATCCATCAGGGACTTCTGTGGAAATCTAAAGTCAAAGATATTTTTTTCCAAATAATTTGTATTGTTTAATAACATTAATCAATTAATGCAGATTTCCTTACAATTAACTTATATATCTCAATCTGTCTAGCCTATTCTTGATGTACAAAATGAAGAAAAAATTATTTTATATTACAGTAGCAGTATGTTATTGTCTCTATGACTGGAGTGGAATAACCAAATAAATGACCTTTTCCTAATATTTGAGACCAAGCTATTTATAAATTGGCCCTTAAGTGACTGGAAATTTGCACCAGGAACTTTATGAATTCTGTGTCCCTTGAATTCAGGATGGTCATCAACTTCTGTAATATCTGAAGCAAACTGCTCAACAAATGTAGTGTGGAAAGTTTTTCCTTCTTTGAAAGCCTCCAGCTCATGCAGACATGAGTCAACTGAAATCTATTTTTAAAAGTTTGATATATAAATAAAATTAAATTATACAGAATCACGATTTGTGCTTTATTTTTGTAATATGTATTGTAAATTAAAATGCATAATATCTTATTATGTACCTTAGCCCGAGCAACATCCAAGTCATCCTTCTGAAAGGTTAGACACAATCTCATGACAATTGGAAGAATGTCCATCATTAGATAGGTGATATATATAAATTGCGTTGTTGCCATTTGCTTTAGAAGTCCTTTGGCTTTAGGGTCTTTTTTGGCTTCTCGGTTGTGCAAGTAAGTTAAAAGAGGATCCAGAGTTTTGTAAATGGTTTCTAATCCATCGTAGAATGAGAGCCAGCGCACAGCATGAATTTCTTTATACTTAAGCATTGGATGATCCAAAAGAGCTTGAACTTTGTGAACTTCCTTCTCCCTATCTGCTGACACTTTAAAATAATAGAATAATTTTGTCATAAATTCCTGGTATCTTTTCAAAGCAGGGATGCCATTAGCTGCTTGTGCAGTGCATAATGCTAATCTGTGTGCCATACAATGAATGTTTAAAATGTGGGGATTCAATTCTTTCAGTCTTCCAATAACACCTTTATCTAAACCTGTCATTACTGATGCTCCATCTGATCCAAAACCGAGAACCTTTGACAAAGAGATGTTTCGTAATTTCAACTCCTTAGTTATCTCAGAAGTCAATCCTTCCCCTGTCCCACTCTCATACTCAATGTCTCTCAAAAACACAGTTTGTGCTCTAGAATTTTCTGGGTTAATTATTCTAGCTGTCATTGTCATTCTCTTCTTGTTACAAATGTCTGTACTTTCATCAGCAAATATTGTTACAAATGGTGACTTCTGAAGCTTTTCAGTTGTTTTCTCTTCTATCACATCACTAATTGCATGTAGAAATTCATTGGCTGAATAGTACGACTGATAATCGATTCGATTTCCAACTTGTAAAAAATGGAGACTTGGTGTGCCTATATCTTTAAGAAAATCCATCATACTTTCAAATTTTGACAGTGGTAAATTCTCATTGGCAAGCCAATGCACAGTCTTTATAGCCTTTATTAAAGCTACATCATGGTCTGTCATCATTTTAGCCACAGCTACATTCATCTCTTTACTGAGTGATTGTGCTTGTATACTATCCCTGTGATCTTGAGAATTTTCATGTCTATTTAATGACGATGTTTTAAATGTGCCACAACCCTGCGTAAATATATTGTCTTTACCCCTTCCTTTACAGATAGTGCAAAACATTTTTTTCCGATTCGTAAATCATCCAGGGCCACAATTTCAACCATGATGACTGAAATTTCCTTTTTTGTTTATCAGTATTACTGGTCTCGTCATTGTTCGATTCTGCATCAGCATTCTCACCTCTTATATTTGCTGTATCTCCTTCCTCGGGACTCGATTCTGAACTTAAGCCTGTTGGAAATTGCATTGATGTTAGTGTCTTTTGACCACGTGGAAGTGAAAACTTCATTTTCTTTGCCGGCGGCATGTCAGAATTTAAATGGCGTTTCCGATACTATCATTCCGTACTCCTCGGACAATTCCATCTAACTTTGGTGAAGATTACCGATAACGCCGACCTCGATAAAATAACGAAATAGAAAATAATGCGTGTGCGCATTTCACCAGATATTTTGCGGGATGCGCCGCATGGCGCAGCGCACCATTATTACATTGCGCCATTTTTCGGCAGTATGCGCATATGGCGCGTGGCGCGGCCCTTTCCCGGGCCCTTGTATTTATGTGTTTGGTTGATATTCATTTGCTCATGAAATTAAAATATAGTATACAATTTAATTGCAGTTGGCCGTAAGATTCCATCAACCACTGACGGCTTTGAGACGTAGTTGATGCCCTGATTGGATGAGATCCATCGCCCGTGAAAATTACAAAGGAATGCAAGATTGTGTATGTACACCTCCATGTTTTTAACATTTTTCTTCAGTAATAATTATTTATAACCATACTGTTACAGTTATGAATTTTAACACGAGGACAAATATAATTCTTTTCATTAATTCCAAGTATAAGAACATGTACTTTTGTCTGTTTTTTTTTTATTATTCATGTTTATTTTTATCATTTGAAATAACAAGTTATCAAATAAATGACTTTCATATCATTATTTCTTTCGGTAATAGGTTTTGCATTAGAGGATGGAGCTTCTTGTTCATTTCTTTCCGACTGACGAGTCATTTTGTGGGACTTACATGTAACTATGCGCGTGATTTAAAATCAATGGATCCGCCACTTTGTGGAACTTAGTTTTAGACAGATGCGTGATATGATGAACCTTGATATGATTACTGTGACCCCCTTTTCACTAGGAAGATAAATTTTGTTAAACAGTGATTTTTGAGATTCGTTGAATGGATCCTGGATTTATCTTTGTTTTTAAAATACAGTTTAAAATAAATTTACTCAGAATCTTAATACTGAATTACAACTTACATATTTCGCAACTTGAATAACTTTTATTAGAATGTGAAATGTATTTGTTTATAAAGCAAAACTCAGTATGACTTCAACGTGATTTCAACCAAATATTAACATTTGTACAACCAAAAAATTTCAACCAAAAGTACCTAATTTCAACCAATGTTCAACCTTTTCTCAATGTTGATATTTGACGTTGAAACAACGTTGAAGTTTCAACGTTGCCTCAACTTTCATTTGCAACCAAAATTCAACTATAAATCAACCAAAGTTTAACCCATTTTCAACGTCTATTCAACGTTGAAAATTGACGTTGAAACAACGTTGATGTCTCAACGTTGCCTCAACTTTCATATTTAACCAAAATTCAACGTTGATTCAACGTTGAAGTGCAACGTTGATTCAACGTTGAAATGCCTGCTGGGTTATAACTTTCTGGAATTATGTATATCATAAAACGTAATAAAGAAAAACGTAGAAAAGATACAAAAAGAAAAACAAATTTAAGAAAGCATAAATGGAAAAATGTGGGACTTGAACTCGCTATGACCATATTTACATTCCAGCAATCATACCACTGCGCCAACGAAATCAATGACGTTGAATGAATAAATTTGCTAAATCTTACGATTATATGAGAAGAAAAATTGAATATATATTTTCATCATTTTCAATATGAAGACCACCTTTAACCAAAATTAGAAGTGCAGTCATATCCGAATAAAATCCTTCAAAAGTTGTTTTTTTTCTGGTTAAGGGTGGTCTTTGACAACAGATTGTCATCTTTAGGTGGATACCTCAATATTTACTATATACTCCATACAAACTGGATAATTTTCATATTTATCATATGAGGAAACTATTAATATTGAAATATCATTATTGTCTGGTATGGTTTTACGCATGTATAAACTAAGATTGTATGACAAAATTTTGGTTAAACAATGAATTTAAGAAATCACTAGTAGAGTAGACGAAAATGCCTATCAAATGCGCTGTGGCTCTTTTACTAGGAGAAATATGAGCCTTTGTTTTTATATGGCCTTGCATAATATTAACGGCAATGTCTACAATATACAGATGCAGATGCAACACGCTTATATTGTGCGTGTATTATAAAATCTAAAAATATATTGAAACATCAACCGTGCACTTGTATAAATGACTGAAAATACAAAACTTCAGAATATTAATTAATCTGATCAGTCCTGACCAACAGCATCCAAAAGATTGGGAATTTACCCCCCCCCCCCCCTTTTCCAAGAAAAAGGTGTTGCAAGGGGACCTATTGTGACGTCATCTTTGAGTTTAATTTTTTTTCCAGTTTTTATGCTATTTTCATGACAAATATATTTGTATGAGCAATATAAATATGGTCAATCAATGATAAATTTATTTTTAACATTATTACACGAAATACACCATTTTTATTGCTCCTAGATAAGAACTCGCCTCTCGACTAACTTGGTATCCGCCACCGGAAATAGTCATGAAATGTCAAAATTAACATACTGCACATTCCTCGAGCAAATTCTTACCATTATTTTTGCTTGTCTTTTATCAAATCATTTTCAAATATATATGTTTTATTTTACTCGAGGGGTGTGCACTGCTTCAATTTTGGGAATTTGTTGTAAAAATAGTGGGAAAAATAGCAATTTCCGGAAAGAACGGATGTTTAAATCCTGTGAATACCTCTAATCAACGTACTTGCGAAATTTTGTTATGCATATATCAAATCTACCAATCTTCATCTACATGTACATAGTAGTTATATTTTTGCAAACGTGTATATCAAAATGCGAAAAATTGTGGGCCTTCCAATGATACGTAACGTACTTAGTTCTTTATGTCATCCAAACCAAACCATACCAAGAGAGCGATGCCCTACAACCTGTCGAGAAGAGTTTGCAGGATAGTAAATGAAGAAAATACACGGAATATACGCCTAGAAGAGTTAAAAACGTTTCTTGTAAAACGTAAATACTAGTGGACGATAGTAAAAAAGGCAAAACATATGACAGAGCACGATTACTTACGGTACTTGACAAACAGGAAGAAAAACAAATAATCCCTTTTGTCTATATCCATAATCCACGAAATAAAAACTTAACACCAGTGGTGAAGCAATTAAACAGGATACTTGAGGTGGATGAAATATCTGGAGATAACGAACAGTATTCAAGCTCAAAAGTCCATTAAACATTACAAAATAGGTGCAGAGCAAACACGGAACTCCAAAATATCAGAGGTGGGATCAGGTGCCATGGCGTAGTGAGCATCCCCTGCCGACCGGTCACACCAGCCGTGTGCTCCTTGTCATGATCGAGAAATAATGGAAAAATCCGTCGACAATTCAGTGTGTAAATAATGGCCTAACAATTAGTATGAAAAACGTCAGTCAGCAATTGACTCAATGATAAATTGTATTTGCTGACAAGGTCATTGTATCGACCATAGAACTTACGAAATGATGACTTTAAAAGACACGTACTGTTGATATTCTTGTTTCAGCAACTTGTTTGTCAATAATTTACCTCGTTTTAGAAATTGTACATACGTAGAGCATGCTCTTGTGTATCGAATCAACTGAGAGATATAAACCCTGGATGCAGGTGTTGAAGGTATATTGCTGCATAAGTAAGGGAAGTTGACGATTGAAGAGTCATCACGTTTATCATAAAGCTTGGTTGTTAGATTTCCATTAACGTCTTTTTCAGGTAAAATATCCTAATATGAAACAGATGTGTCAGACTCTGTAGTATCTTTTATCTCAAGCTCACCGGGATATATCGTATCGACATAAGAATGGAAATAACAATTGTTAATTGACAGTACGTCGTCGATATATCTAAATGTCGAGTTGAAGGACACAGCAATTGTTTTCTTCTTATCACGTATAAGATTTTGGACAAATTCTGCTTCATATGAACACAAAAAGGGTCTGCTAATAACGGGGCGCAATTGGTACCCATGAGAATTCCAATAGATTGTTGGAAGACCAGGTCTCCAAAAACCACATAGATATTGTCAATCAGAAACTCAAGCATCTTTTTAATGTCAACTTCCGAGTACCTATGTGTACAATCAGAATATTTTTTAACAAAATAATTTTGTAAATGAACAATGACAAGGTCAGTAAATCTACGAGTTGCATTTTTATTGAAAAAGCAGCTGTCATGATATCAAAAAGCAAAACACAAAAGCAATTTACCGAAATATCTAATTTATAAACAGCAAACGCCAGGCTAAAAACTTGAAGAAAATTCTTTGTACATCCGATTTCAAAGAAATGAACTTTTCGCCACAAAATGCAATGACCCGAGATGCGGCACCTGCATACCAAATAGAATTTTAGAAATCGCTTAGACATTATAAGACAATGTATCCCCCCCCCCTTCTACGTGGACATGTTTAGGCTAAATGAACTTTCATTAACTAATGTTTCCGGAAAGGTGGATATCTGTTAATGGGGTAGTAAACATAACATTTAGATTGATACATTAGTTTAAAAAATAAATACAGACAGAAATGTGCTTATTCAAAACTGTACAAAAAAAAAACAAACATTATTTTCCATTTGTTGTGAGTTCTGAACTCGCTATATTATATATTTAAATATATATATTTATATATTTTGGGGGGAGGGGGATTGGGTGTGTGCACATCATTACAGGTTAGTGCGTTTTTTATTTACCTACAGATGTAGAAGGCATTAGGGAAAAATTGACTAATATTTGATGAATGGTTGTACAACTTCATCCCATACAATATTCAGTCGTCAAAAGTTACGTTCAACAAGTGGCAATATTATTAAACCATTTTTGTTGTTAGGTAAGACGTACCAAAAGAAATTTTAAAAGGTCTTATATTTTATGGATAATTAAAAAAAAGAGGTTAAGCGTCCGTTTGTTCAAATAAAATTAATAGTATCTAGATATAATTTATATAGTCAAGACCAGAAACAATTTTTGTAGTTCGACGCTAGGATAAAAGATAAAAAAAAAAATAAATAAATAAAAAAATAAGTTCTGATTTTCATTTTAAAGAATT